TGTCATTTATGCTTGAGAACTTACCTTGTTTTGAATTGTTGTCTTTCTTAGCAATATCCAGATAAAGCAGTTGCTCCACAGTATGTGGGCCCGCAAATTGGTGCAGTAAGAGATGGAATTCGCAGTGGGTGGGAAGCCCAACCCAGTAATAATGAAGATTTGTTTACAGATAAATATGACAATTACAGAAAATATGGAAACGAGGAGTCCAATGTGGGAAGCTTTCACAGTGATGATCATTATGATGGACCTGACCATAGTTCCACGGGTGATTTGTATCATCTTCCTGAGGATTTTCAGCCATACACCAATGGTGGATGTCAGCTCAGTGAAAACCTTTTAAATGGCAATAACAAGGAAAATCAGGTTTGGTTATATACAGTTACTATAATGTTTCACACTGTGGTACATAGGCTGCATTCTGGTTCAAGCACATGGCTGTCAAAAGCAATGCAGGAAATAATCTGTGAGCGTTAACTAAAATGTAATATGGGCAAAGATGCTGAAGTGACACGGGACTTTACTGCTACCCTAAGGAAAATAAACATGAAGAGTGCACTATATCACGTCTGTTAGTCGTTTTACTTTAATTTCTCCAAAAAAAAACCGGTTTGCATTAAGAGTAGCCGTCCATATTAGTTTGTTTACCAATTATGTCCTGTTTCATTTTATTACATGGTTTAATGTGCTCTTTTATTGTCCTAGGTGTTCACTGCTTCTGAAGGTAATGGTGGTCATCCCGAAGATTCTATTCCAGTTAGATACAACCCATACCAGATAAATGTTCTTAAAGATGTCAAACCAGATGCAGCAAGAAGACTTGACAATTACGATGACCTTCAAAGAGAGTTTCTGGATACGGGGGAATGTAAGAGGTTTATTTGGCTTTTCCTGTGTGCGATGCATCATTTTTTATAGTATATTGATAGTAAAAAATGTAACTAACTGCTGTATTTTGTAGGTTCTTCAGGTAACATGCAGTTTGTACAGTTACAAGTTCTTTACAAAGCAAAAGGAAGGCAACTTGAAGAATTAAACACAAAGCTAGAAGAAAGTGAACGACAACTGAGATTCCTCAGTCATCAGCTTGCAATAGTTAAAGGTGAAATCCTGTGCTCTGTGCACCTTCCCTCTTCTTTTTTTTTTTGATTTGTTACTGCAAAATAAGTATGCATTGTGGATGAATCCTAGAGATAAGGTAGATGGACACATGTCATCCAGTCCAAATGTATTGCACCCTTTCCCACAGTACTGACTTTTACTCGTAGGTTTCAGTGAAGCTTGTGATGACTGTCCTCTTTTCATACTTTAGTTAACATATACTGACTTAAATGGAACACATACTCATGTACAAAAACAACCTAAGAGTTTGACTGCATGTACTTCTTGGGGGCACAGCAACATCCCAGCGAGATTCCCACATCAAGACTGCAACTTGCAGTATATTGCCCATCTTTCTTCCTGTTATCATACAGAACTGTGATCATTTTTAATCTCCATCCTGATGTAATGAAGACTTAAAAATACTTACTTGGCTAGAATTTGGGAACTGGAAAGTTAAATCATGAACATTTTGGTAAATATATAAAATGGCTGCTACCACTGTATGCTTGTCAATGCAGTTTCAATGGGCAGTATGAGCACAGAAAGCTTTGACATTACACAGGACATCATCTTCAGTTGTGTCTAGGTTCAGCAATTCTAACAAACATGTGTTGTACAATGGGCTCAGCGCAATTTCAAGAAGAAATAGTGGAACTCTTTTGCAATTTAAGGTCCATGGGTCATAAAACAATATCATTTTGTCTATTTCATCTTTAGTAAGTCTATAGTACATTCCAAAAACAGAACACTTCTTACTGTAACAAATACTCGTATGTAGTCCTAACACATTGTAAATACAGATGAGAAAGATGGATTGGCTCTCAGCCTTCAGGAGTCACAGACGTTGCTTCAGAATTCCAGAGAAGTTGAGCTTCAGTTGAGGGGACAGATGGCTGCCCTGCAGAACACCATGGATGGGTTAACCTCTAATGATGAACAGGTAATCTTTACTCTATAATATATAAACACTGTATATAAAGCTTACTGCTATATTCTATTTTTCGTCTTCAGTCCTCTAAGAGGTTTTGTTTTTAATTAGTTAAGGAAGGAGCTTAAAGTCGCCAAGCTTGCAATGGAGAGTATGCAGCAGCAGGTTATGGACCTGCGGCGTTCTGACTCAATAAACAGAGCAAGGGAACAGCATGAGATGGTTGTGTCAACGCTTCGAACGAAACATGAAGAACAAATGCTCTTGCTGCAGCAGAAACTGGATTATGTTAATGCAGCTCTCCAGGAACAGGTATGTTATCCTAGAGTTAATAATATTCTTGTAAGGTGTGTGCATGTCTAGTACTCCTTCTACAGCATGAGCAGAGAGGTTGCCATCTTGCCTGTCTGCTGTAGGAAAGTAATTGTAATTCAAAAAATCTGATACTAATATTTAATTTTAAACTGTCACATTTTCATTGTTTCCCATCATATGAAGCGGATCCTGTATTAATATATACTAGTAATTTGTATAAATAAAACTGTATAAAACACATGAAAAGGAAAACTGAAGGAGGCAGAAAAACACTTCCTGTTGCTAAAAAAAAAAGAAAGACCAAAACAAAAATGAATTTGAAAAGACTGATCAATGTTTCCTGCGTAAAAGCTGCAATTGCTGACCTTCTCTTCTGCCAATTCTAGTTGCCAGCTGTCATGGTGCTGAGTTATTTAACCAAAAGAACGGGCAGTCTGTCCAGCAAATATGGCCTGGGCAGAACACTACACATGATGAAATGACAACTATGAAAAGCAATCACAAAATGGTTACTATCACATCAATGTAGAGTATTTCCAATCTGTAAAAACAGGGATTCACCGATACCAAGTACAGTACTCGGTACAAGTACCGATACTTTTCGAGCTCCTAGACTAGAGAAAAAAAAAAACTGTTATGATTAAAGAAAGTGACTAAGTTGTACATTCTGTAGTGAGAGATGGGGACAAATTCTCAAGGTTCCATGAATGTATATTCGCATCTGAAACCATTTGGTGAAATCTTTGATTGGCTGTATATTTTAAAAATGGATAAGTAGGTTTTAATGGAATCAATGAGATCATAGAAAATGAAGTCTTCTGGAAACGCATCAATGATCATTTTCAAACTAATCATTTTGCCAAAACTTTGATATATGCTGAAGTTCCCACTGATTATCATCTGCAAACACTCCCAAAAAATAAGTTGGACGACCTGTTGATGGACATGCTGAAATATAAGATGTGCTGGACTGTGTGCCTGCTGGTCATCCAAGTAATACAGAATGTAACTTTTTACGAAGATTATCGCACCGGCAATAAGGACCAACCTCTTGTGAGGCTTTTAAAACTGTGTAAGGGACTGTTAATCCAGGTTTCTATGACAATAAATTTGTTAGATCTTGGCAATCAATTTTGCTAAAACAGTGCTTCAGTTTTTTTTGTAGTGTCCTAGGAGGCTGGATGTCTTTTCTTCAGATCTCATGTTAAAGAAGAACTTGGGGGATATCTCAAAATTAACCCTTGCAGTGGGGCTACCCCCATATTGCAAAGGTTAACTGCTCGTTTTGGTCTAGGGGCTAAAATAAAGAAAATACACTCGCCTGATCCTTGGGCCCGCTTGGCTGCTAGACTTTCCCTGCAACCTCTTTTTGCCTGGGCTCCAATGGTCTAAGGACCCATGACATCCTCAGTGGAGGGAGAAGAGAGGCGAGCATTTATTTCCTTTATCTCTTCAATCAAGATTCTTTTCTTCATCACTACTAGAGCTGGTCTCTTCAATTACAGCTATCCAGAGCAGCCTTTTCTCAGCCTAACTTGTGGACCTTCTGGGCTGAACATTGTGGGGCTAGCCTCGAAGTTTGCAGGCTACCAAGTTGAACCTCCCAAGGTTTTTTATATCTGGCCATCCTGCTGAATCACCAAAATTCGAGCCACGGGTGGCCCTGCAAGCACCACTCCTCTCAACAAAAGGTTGATTTAAAAAATCAGTTGAGCTGGGTGGAAAATTACCGGCTAAACGGTGACTGCATATGTTCGGTAGCACTTGGGCAGCTGTGGGTATTGCAGCTACTAAATATAATCGCTTAAATATAATGGCAAGCACTGGAGATTCCGACATATGTGCTGTTTAGCGTTGATGGGGGAAATTATTTGGTTTTCGGTGCATAGCTAGCTTAACCTTGGTGTTGGCTTTCACATGCTGCATTTTCTGTACCTAGTATACTTATCTATTAGTTTTATCTTGTTATCTCTTCTACCTTTTTATAATTCCTCCATATAATTGTTTTTTCTAACATAGAAAGATATTTGTAGTCGACTAGATGAGCAACTAAAACTGGCTGAGCGAAAGCAAGATGAAAGCAAACTTGAAAAAACGGAAATGATCAATCGCTTATCCAGGAGTCTTGAGGAAAGTCAGAAGCAATGTGCCAATCTTTTACACACAGGTGAGCTAGTAGAACAGTATTCATGTTCTTGTATGTCACAGGAGTTCACTAAGAGTGTAAAATGTCAGTGATATCTTGGATACAACTGGTAAAACCACCAAAGAATGACATTATGAAGTTTGTGTGTAAAAAAAAAAAAAAAAAAAAATATTATTTTTTAATTTTATCTTTTTTTATT